CCGTTCTTCGCGAATTCGAGTATCAAGCCTACAAACATACAATTTTACACAATTATGCTTAGAAATCAACTCAATTTAAATCCCAATTAAATACAAAAAGTGCTAAATAAGTGTGTAAAAACACACTTATCAATCATTCTTCAGATGAGGAAAATAATTATCGTTTCCCTACGTATGATGCTGAGATGGAGAAGTTTAATCAACAATTAGAGGTTGGAAAAGAGTTCAAAGACATAGAAGAATTTAAGAAAGCAGTTAGACATCATGGAGTTGTCACTGGGCGTAATTTGAAGTTTACGGCGAATGATGAAAAGAGAGCACAGGAAGTGTGCAAAAATAAGGATTGTAAGTAGAAGATTTAGGCTTCATGGAATAAGAATAAGGGATGCGTGCAAATTAAGACCTTCAATTCACAGCACACATGCATACGAGACAGAATAAATAGGCATTGCACAGCTAAGTATATTGCTGAGAAGTACATAAAGACTTTCAAAATCCACATGTATAGTTATCACGCACAAGTCGAAGTTTCAAGGGGCTTATATTTGTTTAGAAGCTTGCAAAAGAGGATTTATGAGTGGTTGTAGGCAACTTTTAGGCTTAGATGGGTTTTTTTGAAAGGGAATTTTGGTGGACAGATGCTGATTGCAGTGGCACTAGATGCTAATGATTGTATTTACCCCGTAGCATACGCATAGTGGAGATGGAGAATGCTTGGAGTTGGAGATGGTTCATTAGTCATTTGGGTGAAGATTTAAGAATTGTGAACATTAATGAATGGACTTTTATGACTGATAGGCAGAAAGGATTACAAAAGGTTATCGAGGAGTTGTACCCTGATGCTGAACATAGGTTTTATGTGAGGCACATGTATACAAATTTTTTAGGGTTGAATTTAAGAGTTTGGCAAGCTGGAAAGTCAACTACTATGCCTGATTGGAAGTTTTGGATGGATGAACTTGCGAAGGAGAGTGCGGGTGCATTTGAGTGGTTAAGTAAAAGGGATCCACGTGAATGGAGTAAGTCGCATTTCTCCACTAAGGTAAAGAGTGATATAGTATTTAACAATTTATGTGAAATTTTCAACAATGTAGTATTAGAGGATAGGGAAAAATCTATCTTGACTATGTTAGTTGACATGCATATTAGCTGCATGAAGAGGATACAATCAAGGAGGGATAAGATGAAAAGAGCCAGAGGACCTTTGTGTCCTAAGATTCAACAAAAATTAGCTAAATCCATGGAAATAGCTGAGGAGTATGAAGTAGAGTGGTCTGGGGGCCCACAATTCTATGTGAAATGTCGTACTGGGGAATATGTAGTTGATTTGTCAAATAAGACATGTACATGTACGAGATGGGATTTGATGGGGATTCCATGTGGACATGGGTTTGCTGTTATACTAGACAGAGGAGATAACCCTACAAAGTATGTGCATGAGTGCTACACGGTGCAAACCTATCTACAGTGTTATGAAAACATTATCAATCCCATTAATGGTAAGAAATGGTGGCCGAAAGTGAATGCTATCCCTATACAACCACCAGGTTGGGTGGTGGCGAAGAGGGGAAGGAAACAAAAAAACTGCAGAAGGCAGCAAGAGGAAGATGTAATCACTCATTCCAGTACAACTTCATNGTAATCACTCATTCCGGTACAACTTTACGAATGAAGAAAAAAGGCACAGTGAAGATGACATGCAGTCTATGTAGGTTACCTGGCTACAACAAGCGTTACCATGATAGGGCAGATGCACCGATGGAGGTTTGTATTTCTTTAACTATGAAGAGGTTTGCTCTAAAGTTGTGTAGTAGAGATCATGTTTTGTAACTATGTTTCCTATTTTAAGGATTGGGCTGGAAATGATCTCCATTACATAAATCAAGATGGAGCAAGCCAAGTTGAAAGTCAAAGTTCAAGGGTAATTTTTTCGATGTTGTTACTCTATGATTACCATTGATTTTATATTCAAGACTCTTACCCATTTCTCTAACATAGGCCAAGCTGGCAACTCGAAGAGCAAACAAGAATTCAACGAATGAAGTGCAACGCAATCCTCCAACAGATGGATACATTTTCATGCCCACACCTGGACTTCAGGTCACGAGTGATGCACAATCTAACAACATTGGTCCTTCCAAATAGATGTAGTTTAGGGTCTGGTTTGAAGAGGTTTTGACAGTGAACTATATTTGGCTGTTGTTTAGTGCAATTTTCTGTTGGTCATAGAATGTGTTCCACATGTCATTTAACCATCATGGATGAATGTATTTTGAATGAATGGTTGTATTCCAGCAGTTTTTGTAGCTATTTTTGAATGAATGAATGGCTATTTTTTTTGAATGAATGGCCAGCAGTTTTTGTAGCTGTTTTCGAATGAATGAATGGTTATATTCCATCAGTTTTTTGTAACTGTTTTGAAGGTTTTTAAAGTGATCTGGCATCCACGTGTTCAATTTATTAGAATTGACAGTATCTCATCAATGTTTAGGGTTCTCTGCCAACCACACTTTGCAGCATTACATGTCTGTTCCATTTTATTTCACACTTTCCAGAATAAAAAATTTGTTGTCATCTCATATCTGTAGTGAGGCTGAGAAACAGATGATATTAATTTATCAATTGTTCATACATTAAATCAAAGGATACATTATATTCTATATAACAGATTATACAATGAAAGTTGGGAATGAAGAGGACATTTATGCCTCAGCCTGTGCACTCAATCTGGTGCATCACATTTATGCACCTCAATCAATCCAATTTTCAATAACCTCAGAAGCAAGTTCTGATTTACACATAAATTGCCCATCTACCAACTCAGCCACAAAAATGAAACAAACCGAGCTATACAATGATTCATTCATTCCTGCTTCTTCACCATTTCCATTACTACTTATTCACAGCAATAACCAGGACTGCAATCTCCCTTCACCATTTTGACCTCAGAATGGACGAAGATGACCCTCAAAATCTTAATTACAACGATGATGAAGAAAAATTTCAAGGCTAAACCCTGAACCCAACTAATCAAGATTGATAATAATGAAACCAATTGGGTTTTTTTGGATCCAAATAAGGATGAAACGACCTTAGGAACTGAAAATAAAGAAGGGGGCAGCGTGAGATAAAACAGTTGTTGAGAGGGAAAAGAGAAGGAGAAGGGGATTTTGATGGTGGTTCGAGTCTGATTTTATAGAGCACAACAACATCTGATAAGCGATGAGGGCTTTTAGCTACAATCAGATAAGTGACTTGCAATTAAGGGTGGCCTTGAGCTGGGAGCGATGAGGGATTTGAGCTACAATCTCATATCTGTCCTTCGAGGAGGCCTTGCGCCGGAGCTTCCAGTGGTGGTGGAGATTAAGCGAAATTGGTCAGTTTATTTCACACTGGAAATTAAGGGTTTAGGGTTGGGTAGTTCTCTTGAGAAGGAATGTTGTGAGAATGGAGGTGATGAATTCCAGCTAGTCAATTTAACGGTGGTGTTTGCCACGTGATATTCCGTCATTCCACGTTGAATTTTCTGTTAAGTTGAAGAGACGGGAGTCAATGGGTAACTATAAGTAAAGATGAGTGACCGTTCAGTAACTCATTTAAGTTGAGTGAGTAAGTGGTAGCAGGTTTAAAGTTGATGGACTGTTGATTAAATTAACTCGAAAATAATCCGAAAAAAGTAAGTATAAAGTGGAAAACACTGGAACTATTGGAATAAAACTGTCAAAATCTCAATCGAAAAGCTAGCGATTTTGATTCAGCTGTGAAGAGATTATAAACTAGAAAAGAAAAATGAAGAAAATATTATTGATCAGATCGTTGGGCCGCTCGATTTGCCGAAGATCTGAATCTTTATCCCCCACCTCTGTCGCCGCTGCCGCTGCTACGTCCGTCGTCAACCAGCATATCCGCCGCCTGCATTTCTCTTCTCCCGCGCTCCCCACGTCCTTTCATGACCATCTACCCTATGGTATAGACTCTTCTGTTAAACTATTATCAATTATCGTTTTATTTTTATTAAAAGCTTGTTGTTTGTAAAAAAGAAAAAAAAAAGATAAATAATAATAATAATTCGAGTTACAAATGTAGTATTAAACTAGTGATAGAGCGGAGATCTTGTTCAGTTTCTTCCGTATTTGATTTTTTAATTCCGATTCTATTAACTTTACTTTTCATATATTTGATGTCAAGAAACACAAAAACTCTACTTTTCACACTAATTGTTAACTGTATAGTCTGTATTTTCCTAACTTCATTTGAACTCGTTGCTTAATTTTTAGTAAAACATAGCTTGATATTAGTCCTAATTATCTTTTTTAGGACACTTGTGGATTAGACTTGGATGTTCTGACATTTAAGATATTGGTGATTTAGATGATATAAGGAAATTTTGAGGCTAATGAAACCAGAAATTATATTTATTCCGTTTCTAAAATTGCTCAGGTATCTATAATTTAACGTGCTTTTCCCAGAGTTTCCAAGATGCTTTTTGCAAAGTTCCCATTGTGAATTCGTTTGAAAACTTATTAGAGAGGGGAAAGTTTAAAGATTGAGTTTGGATGATGCATATATTCCACTTCTTCTCCCTGGTGAAGACTCTGGAATGTAGGAAGCAAAAAAATAAAATAAAAAAATCTATGAGAAATAATTAATGAAAATCAATAGGAATAAAACTTTACTTAGAGTCTGTTGCTGACTATTATTAAAATCTATGGAAGTGCTCGACAAGTATTTTATTCAACATAGTATTCTATTTCTGAGATTTTACAGAACTTGTGGGTTTTTAAGGGAAATCTATAGAGTACCACATAACACCGCCCTATACATGACCTCACCACGGCAGTGCCCATTATACTGTTGGTTGATGAGATCACCACTGCCATTATTGAGATTTCGATCATTTATTTACAAATATATAATCAGAATGATGTGGGATTGTTGGGTAGAACAAAGCTTCTGTGGAAGTCCAGAAAGGGGAAATAAAAGCTCCACCTTCCTGTTCTTTATTGAATTAACTATTTTTAGTTAACATTATTAGGTAGTGGAATATTGAGGATTGCTTTGATGGATATGTGTGTTTGTTGCTATCATAGTGGAAAGATGATGGGGAAGAGAATGAAGATAAAAATCACAGAACTGTCTCTCTCTTTCTCTCTCTCTCTCTCTCTCTCACACACACACACAAACATACCCACACGTGTATATCTTACTTTGCCACTATTTGGCATCCATTTTCTAAAATTCATTTTCCCTCGAACTTACTTTTATCCACATATTTCATGGGACCCATAACTTTTATTAACTGTTTATTAACACATTTCATCAACTTTTATTAAAATCTACTAAAATCTTATTTAGCTAAACCAAACATAGGCTTTGTCTTCACTATGTCGTATGGTAGTCTTTCGAAGAGTCACTATTCCCTGGTTACAGGAATGTGTTGTATCAGCACCACCACGTCCATATTATGCTTCATAGGTTACTATATACCATTAACGAGAAAAATACTAATACTGCCGTAAGAGCATAATCTTAGGAAAGAATTCACTGCTGTCCTTTCTTACTAATGCAACAAACTATGCCTTACTCCCTACAAAATTTGGTATCAACTACGTATATACTTTTCATCATTCTATTTGTTTCATTATTGTATCTATTGGAATAATCCAAAACAAAATAGATCTTTAGTACCTCCTCCTAATTTACTAAACTGAGATTGCATTATTTTAAATAATGGAGGATTTCTGTATCTTCTGAAGACATATCCCAATCACCAAATATATCTGGAATTAGGCTTTGTCATGTTGCCTGTGCGATGGATGTTTCCCTTTCCCCTTTTCTTTTCACTAATTAGACGTGTCTACGAATGGAAAACCAGAATGTGTATCCTTTTGAACAATCATATTAAGTGATACTGCTTTTTCTTAATGATAATGAGCTCCACAATGGAAATAACACTTTTGATGCACCTGCTTCCTATTTCATTGAGTAATCCTTTGTGCCTCGTATGTCATGAGATGTTTTCATGCCTACCTATAGCCTAAACGAAAAGATTCTTGTACTCGAGTACTGTTGTCAGTCTTAAAAATCTTTTTACACTTGATTCTTCTTATCACATAGGTTACTCGAGTCCTTTAACAATGCGCGTTGGGAGTACACGTTCATTCAGCGAAGATGTTGCACATACACCTATCATAAAAGACCTTGAGATCGAGAGGGCATTCAAGGACTTAATGGCCACAAACTGGGATGAGCTCCCACCTGCTGTAGTCCATGATGTAAAAAAGGCGCTGTCCAAGAATTCTGATGACAAGGCTGCCCAAGAAGCCCTGACCAATGTTTTCCGAGCAGCAGAGGCAATTGAAGAGTTTTCAGGTATTCTCATGTCACTGAAGATGGAAATGGATGATGCCATTGGGATGAGTGGCGAGGTAACATGAAATGCACGTTATTAATGGTTCTATATTTCCAGTTTTTTCTTGGCTGCTTGTTAATTTACAATTTGGCAGGATGTGAAACCCATGCCAGAAGAATATGTAAAGGCAATGCGTACAATCTTTGATAGATATGTTGCTTATTTGGATGCATTTGGGCCAGAGGAGAGCTATTTGAAGAAGAAAGTGGAGAATGAGTTGGGAACAAAGATGATATACTTGAAAATGAGGTGCAGCGGCCTTGATTCTGAGTGGGGAAAGGTATGTTTATTCTTTCAAAATGATTGTGGCAATGTGTACCTAAATAGATAGCTATGCTGGGAAAATTTGCCACGTTAATCACGGAAATTGTTGCAAAATGTCTTAGCTATGACAATTGAAGACGGCAAAGTAAATGCATGTCTATTTAACCTCTTCTAAACTATGAATGAATGATCACACACCTATTATGTTTGGGCCTTGGAATGGATACTTGCTCGGTAATAGTCCATGAGGAATTCAGAAATTGATCCACAGATAATGATTTTATAAGTGAGAAGCATTGCCATTTGCCAAATAATTTTTCAATTACATTTTTGCTCGAGGTAACTAACAAAATTATCTTTCAGCAATCGCACTTACTTCATTTACCACTGTGATTGAAATCCTGCGAGTAAATGTTTGTTGTTTCTATTTTCCTCATCATCAGTTTGCTTTATTGCAGGTTACTGTCCTTGGAACTTCTGGAATCTCTGGTTCTTACATTGAGCAGAGAGCATAGATTTGGATAGACAGCTAAATAAATCTGTTCATTTTTTCATGTTTTTGACTTGCGGAAGAATTTCAGAACCATTGAAGTTTCCAACAAGTTTACTTCTGCTAGCCAGTTTGGTTCTTGTGCTCCTCTTATGCTAGTATGTACTCTGAAACTTTGTTCAAGTTGGTATAATGTACTCTGAAACTTTGTTCAAGTAGGTGTAATAATAAGGATACGGGAAAACTTAAGAAGTTGAAGTCATGGATGCTGTAATATTTCTTCTGAATTTCCTATAACTTGGGTTTCAGGCTGTTTTATGGTTTCATGCCTTAATAATAATGGTTTGTTGGTTCGATTGGCAAAGGATGTTATCATTCTCATTGAACGTATTTTCTGAAGTTTGAATTAATAACTGTAGTACACTGAGTGACTCTCCTCTGCAGACAGATAATATGAACAGAAAGAATAAGGAGAAGGGTAGAAACATGTAGATGAAGAGATTAGAGACGGAAAACAATTTGAAAGGCATACAAACATTCCACTGGGAAAAACAATACTCACTGCACTTTATTTTTCAGCTGGATGCACAACAATTTGAATGTAATTGTTTCTTTATTTCAGCACTGTTTGCATAAACATGTTAAAAGAGAATCCTGCTATCAATGTATCTTTACCATTCTAGCACTCTTTCGCCACGACCAAGAATCAGATGGGGACTTGGGCAGAGGAGGCAGCAACAAGGCCTTCCGGCAAAGTCCAAACGGCCACCCTTCGTACTGGCATAACTCTTGAATAATCGAGCGTCTACGAGAATCTTCGTAGTCAATCCTACTTAAGCTGTCGATCCTACTTAAGCTTGAACACCTGGAAAAGCACGTTTTGACAGAGATAAAAGCATCGAAGCTCGTAGCGCTTGAACACCGAGATAGATGGCTACCAATGGTGAAAAATTCATCTCTATCTACTTCATTGCTTGTTTCTTTTACTGACTTCGAGGTAACAAACAATTCTCCTGCTGTTGGCGAGATTGCCCAGTTGAAGCTATCTTTTGCAATGCTTGAATTGCGTTTGCATTTGGATTCCTTATATTTACTTATGATTGCTGAAACAAATACCTGTTCCAAACAAAAAATGGATTAGCAGAAGAAATTGTTGTAACAAAGGAAGAATTCAAGGTTAAGTGAGTACTTCCTCTTCATCATTGTAATCAGTGTCTGGCTCTTCTTCTTCCTGTTGTTGTTGGGGGTACGAAGTAGAATTCCTTCCTCGAAAAGATTGGCATTTGGCAAATGCATCCTTCAGGGCTGAAGCAAGGAATTTGCATCTTTTGGAGGGATTTGGTGGCTCTTCATGATGAAAAATGCTCATCTTGGGAAGGATTTTGGTTAAATGGGTGGGAATTTATTGGAGAAGAGAATATGTAGCAAATAAATATTTGTATTTAGTGATTTATGTGACAGTGGCCTCTCATCCTATTCCAAATTCTGCACTTTTAACTTTGGTTTGAAGATAAAGTTAACGAGAGATGCGAAATATTAACAGACATTTGACTTGGTACCACCTTCAGATTTTTCTTGTATTATTAGATAATTACTTAAGGGACTCGTATGGGCATCTTCGGTACGCTTGATAGACAAGACACGACTGGACAATACTTTTTTTCTTACTACGTCTCTTTCTTTCAATGATGTTCACCTCTATTCAATCTAGAACGATACAGTTTCTCGAATGCGGATATTTCTCCAGTCATTTTCTTGGTTCTTATAGTTAAAATTGTAGCTTTCAGATTCACCCAGAAGTAATTGTAAACCACGATATGGTACCTAACTCACTATTGACACATGGTAAATTGATAAATATGCTGCAAGTGTCACCATCTATCTAAAACAAATAGAGTGGGACAAGAGAATAATTGCTTGCTTCAAATTGCAGTTTGTTCCAATGAAAGCGACAATAATTTGATTGGAGAGGGTAACGAATTTCTTGCATATTGTTACACAATGCTTATTCGACTCCTGTGTAATCTAACATCTTCACGTCATAAGCTAATTTTTTGCTTAAGACAGATTATGGTCCATCGAGCATTAAGCCTGCCAAGACGAGAGCTACTAAAACTGTGTCCTCACACTGTCAACATTAAGTGTTGTGAAGTAGAACGTCCTATCTCACACCATGAAAGGTCACTCAAGTCCAGCATTAGTAAGGAACCCGAGGTTGTACTGACCTTAAACTCGATAAAGGCCAATACTGCCGGATAAGTGTCCTTGTTATTCTTGTGTTTCATGCTCCAACAAGCCATGGTCTTCTAGGAGATCTTGACAAAAGTGTGCTGAAAAGGCAAAATTTACGAAGCTGACTAAAATTGCACGAGAACTAGCAAAATAGTGCTAAGAAGACCAAAATCCCAATTCAATGACATTGAAAAAAGCCCCAGCTCTTCCATTCTATAAAGGCCACAAGGTCATTTACTCTATGAAAATCGAGAAGTTTTCTATTAAAATCTACATAACTAAACTAACTAAATCATCAAATTTGAATTAGTCACCATTTTCTGATGAACGGATTTGTCAAAAGATACTTGTCAAGCAAATTTCTAGAAAGGTTTTAGTGCATGTTATTGACAAAGTGTTGCCTAGAAAATGTCAATACTGCCAAATGGAAGGTTGAGTTGACATTCAAAACCAAAACCAACAATTCAGGTAACATTTCATCACTGTCTAGTCAAGACGAGTCAAACCAACAGTCTTAATATCGCCTATGCCATCCACAAAATCGAAGAAGACATTCTCTTATGCGACAATGAGGTTGGCCTCGTAAGAGTCCATTCTTACCCTGGAAAATTAGATGGTCACCCTGACTCAAACCATTCAAATTTCGGCAACTTTGGTAGCGAGATTGCGAAATTGGTGAATATGTGTAGTCCATGATAGTGAAGAAAAGGAAGTGGCTCCACCCACATTCCAGTTGCAAAGTTAAGGGATATAAAAGGGAAGATACCGTCAAACTTACCACTCTAGTCACAGGCAGAGTTCTGATAGAAACAAGCGTAACCAGGAAGAAGAGCCAATAGCCACCAACATCACTGTCACACTCACATTCGAGAACCAGCTCAACAAAGATGCCTAGTGAAGACGAGCAACATAGGATGAGGTGTCTTTCACTGGTGACTGGCAGCACAGATGAGTGTTGTCTAAAGGGCACCTGATCTCGGGGAGTTTGGTGGGAAAAGTAAAAAGAGTTGACTCTTCTTCCAGTAACTCCACCCATAATGAAGGAAAATCTGACACTTGAAACAGATTTGACGATCTTGAAGTAGGAATAGCTCAAATAAATGGAAGTTTGAGGGACGCTTTTTTAGTATCCTCTAAGTGGTTCTCAAGACCAGTTTTTCAGTAACTGGTAAATAAATTGATACATAACATCCTCTTCAAATTCACACCTTTTCAACTCTAAAACTGAAGAGGTTGCCTAAAACAGTACTCCCAGACAGAATTATTTTTCTTTCTTTCTTCCTTCCTTCTTGAAACTAGAGAAGGAACTTAGTATATAAGAATACAGAGAAGATAGAAATAGGAAGCAACATATGCAAGCAAAATAAAACTTGGGATATTACTTATTCAATTGATCAGGCAAACTCCAACAAATAATACTTAATTAGATGGTTTGCTAGCGGTTTTACAATATTAGTCAAACTTCCAAATTGCACTGTAGGAGATGCGCCTGATATCTTCAAAATGTCAAATTGGTTAGGAGTTCTAAAAAGATGGGAATTTGTACATGACTACACTGGTCAACCATGACCACTTCTGCTTGAAAAGCAGATGAGGCAATTCTCACATCTAGCAATTAATGTTCCATCCGTTGTCTTTTCAAGCAAATTGGACAAACTGGGGACAATGACATCTTGAAGATCATTGCTCCCTACAATTCACTGCCTGCTGTCATGTTGTCAGACAATTGTAGCTTCATGTTTTCCAGTACTTGAAAGAAGTCTAGAATACCAAAGCTGCAGCAATCATGGGGATGACAGAATTTTCAAATGTGTGTGAAAGAAAATTTACCTGTCGTGCAACAGAAATAGTGACACAGAAAACTTCTGAAGAACACAGAATGAGAGAGGAAAAGAAAAATGAGGGAAGTATGTATGAAAAAAAGCCACCAGAAGAACACTTAAATCAATTGGAGGACTTGTGAAGCAGTTGGGATGTACGGGAAATAAGAGACTGAAGCTTAGCAACAGCAGATGTCTTATCAGGCGGGCACTTGGAAAGAGCGACATTTAGTGAGTTGACAGCCTCATCAAGCTTCCCTGCAGCCATGGAAGCCAATCCTGCCTTGTAAGCTTCATCAGCCATTTGAGCATCATATTGTGAAGTCAACTTTCCATTAAGGTTTATGTTCTTTGAGGCAGAAGCAGATCGAGATTGTAAGAAAGCAGTAGCACGAGTGTACTCAAGAGCAGTAATGGCAGAATTAATCTCAGACATAAGCACTTCAGGTGACGTTGAGATGGTCTTCACACCATCAAACATATTCCAGTGGGGTTTTTCTTCACTGGAACTCATTTCTATATCTTCAGCTGAGTTCACCAGTTGTCAAAAAACCAGTACCTTGTGGCACATAATGGCACACTCGAGCTTTTCAGTAACCCTTTTCTCCATGATACAAATAAATGTGAAAGGAAAGAAATGGTCAAGTTTTGATTTCCATTGTGTAAGCTAGGCAAAATTCTTCGTTAGTCCAGTCCTGCAATCCTTGTTGCAGACAACAATATTTGTTAGACAGCAGGGATGAAGCATCAACAGTGAAATAATAAGCTCAAAAACAAAAGCCCATTATCCGAGTTATGATTTTGTTAGACAGCAGGGATGAGCCCTGAATTTATTGTACATGTCTGTCAAATTAAACCAACCAAATGTTAAATTGATTTTCTATTAGATAGTTGATTGAACTAGATAATGATGACCAAAAATTGCACCATTGGTTCCCAACCTATAGCTCCAATAGCAAGTTGGTCCACTCCTTTATAACGGAGCAGATTTTGTCATCAACCTTTCATTTTGTTTGCACAAATAGTCCCAACAGACGGTTTCCATCCAAAAATTCAATTAAACCACTTTCCAAGAACCACTCCCCCTTCCCCACCAACAAAAAAAAAGAAAAAAAAATGTTTTAGTTTAATATTGTTGTCAGCCTCCAGAGAAGAAGGGGTCACCGGTGGTAGAATGCAGGCATTTGTTCTGGCTTTACACGAGTGATTCTACATATAAATCTAAACAGATCAATATAGTAAGGCAGAGACCAGTGGCTAGTTTTGGCAGGATAAATGACTTGATTGTTTGGCAATCCATGTTCAATCCATTACATTACATTTTTCAGCTCAGAATCAGTGGCTTTTAATCTTCTATAATCAGGTTCACTGCTTAAAGGTGCAGTTGCAAATTCAAAGACCTGAAGATGCAACCCAAAACCTCTTAGGCATGAATGATGTTTAGTCTTTCTTTCTGTTTTCTTTTTGCTTATCTTGTTTTCATTTCTTCTCTCTTTTTCTTAGTCATTTTAATTAGAAAAAACAGCATCACCGTGTTTTTAGTAAAACATTGACCTTTCAATAGATTTTGAGACGGACATCATCTTTTAAGCAAAAGTCTCGTTTCAGCCTTCATTTGGGAAGAATTATAAACGGTTTAATATAGGGATAGATAGAAATGAGTGGTGGATAAATGGATAGTACTTGTAGATCATTGGAATGTGAGGTCGAAATGAAGTTAATGATTTATAGATATAGCCAAAAGGAGGCTTAATGGTTGGGATAAACTTGATACTAGAAGTATAAGTTGATGACTGCAATTTCCCTAATGATTATGCAGTTATAATATCAACGGTGGACCAAGTAAACAACTTCATTCCACAGGGAGAGAGAGAGAGAGAGAGAGAGAGAGAGAGAGGGTGGGGGGTTCCGTCTCACCTCGATTTATATCAGGGGAAATGGAAGAAAACCTAAGAGTTGAGAAATAGAAAATCCTCCTTCAAAATATTACAGAAAAGACCAACTTTTATACATTATTAATCACAACTCGTTCTCTGAGGTCACCAATGATAATTGATGACAAGGTAATTTAAAAAATTATTTAACCAAGAACACCTTTTGAATATTAAATACAAAACATCAACACCAAATTTTGATTAGCATAACTTTTTGCTAATAAGAAAAGAAAAACAGTGTTTTCCAAATTGCATTCTTGAAACCCAAAAGAGGAAACATGAAAAGACCAAACTCCAGCAAATAGAACATGGATTTTAGATATTAACAGAATATTGAAATGAGTAAACAGTACGACAATTTCTTGTAAAATATTAAAAGTGTTTATACAGAGATGAAATTAGGTGCAAAAAAATGTGTCAAAACCCTAAATATACGCATTATATATCATAAAATAATTGCTGACGGAGAGTCTATTGATGAAGAAAGTGGTACCTGGGAAACTGAAGAGGATTTTTTATCTTCAAATTTGTTGAGCTCGTTGACAATCGAAATGGGTGTGTTCTTCAAACCGTAATTTGTTTTCACTACCATATTTGTATTTTTTTCTATTTTTAATTTGAAGGATTTTGTAAAGTTTAATTTTTTTAATTAATTTTTATTGATTTTTAATTTTTACATAAACCAAGAAAATCTTTCCTAGACTTTCTTTTAGAGATTTTTATCCAGTTTGGTATGCATATAACACACATTCTTGTTGTATCGTCTTATTTAGCCATTGTTTAATGTTCATTATTTTTAATTTTTTTTAAATATATTTAAACGACACATTCACCAAATAAAATATTTTACACTTCAATTCAAAATTTTTTTTCTACATTTTAATCACACATTCTCGTAAAAATCGCTATTCAAATTTTTATTTTTCTCAAATAATAGTTGTCAAACGAAGGCCTAATTCTTAACGGTTAATTGCAAAAACCAAATTGATGTGTCATTGATTAAATTGATATAACATATCCATGAAAATAATTTAAAAGAACATATAAAAGAAATGTCACATCAATTAAATATTAAAACAATGGACACATTAAGCCCTTACTTGGTGGGAATTAAAATTAAATTTTAAAAAAAAATTATGTAGAATTTGATGAAATGTTTGATTGTAGTGAGAACTATGATACGAGAACCAGCAAGGACAAAAATTTGTTGATTGTGGAGGAATGACCAATGACTAAGTTACGAGCAAAGAAGGTCAAGGAGGCCACGTAGTTATTTATTCAAACTACGGTGGATGAAACATCGACCACAACAAGCAAAATGACAACTTTCATATTGGGCATGGAAGATGAACAAAATGAATCAACTTGATCCAAGTAACGAATGAGGAAGTTGAAAAGAGTAACTATGTGATCGCATAGTATACTCAAGCATGCGAACACATGCCTCTATACCGAGAATTAAGGTGGCATTTTGGATGAATTATGCGACCGCATGTACATACACTATGCGGCCGCATAGCACAAATTTGGTGGTGAATTTTTCAATTTTTGGAAAGAATCTTAATTTACTTAAAATTCTAATTTTATGGTAATTCTAATTAGATTACTATTTTCGTTTTTAATTAGGTTTTTTTTGGGTTCTTTATAAATATGACTTATTTTATTATTGTAAAACACACACTTCATTTTAAATTCAATTTTAATTATTTGCGAATTTTCTAAATGAGATAAATAAAGATGATATTAACTTGCGTATGGCCGCTTCTTATCACATGATTCACATCACAATCATATCCCAATGAAAGTTGAAACTCAGTCATTGTTAACCGCGGAAATCACAATCATATCCCAATGAAAGTTGAAACTCAGTCATTGTTAACCGCGGAAATCCCTTCAAAAAATCCAAGGCCACCTAAAGTGAATTAGTGTTGGTTTGTCTTCCATTTTGGGGGAAAAAAAATAGAGATTTGAATAATATTTCTTGGAGAATTTGTAGTTGAGAAATAAAGTAATCTTATTAATTTGTGTATAAAATATTTTATTGAGTGAATATGTAATGGAGATTGTTTACCATAACAAATAATATTTGATAAAATGAATGAGAAATAGGGACTTAATAAAAAAAATGGGGCACAAATGTGAACAACCCCATGCCAGTCTTTTGATGGTTCAACCATATCTATTATACAGTCAATGAAAAAAATACAAACTTTTGCCATAAAAAGTAGCTTTTTTTTTCCCGAGAAAACTACCTTTCATTGTCAGCCCCTTAGAAAATTTCACATTTTAATTTTTAGCAGACGAGACAACCAAAAGATATAATTTTTTGGTTTCTCTCAAGAGGATCTTTAATTTTGTTTTCAAGCAAAATTAATATTCTTGGGATTTTTTTTTTTTTTCCCCTGTGGAAAGAGAGAAGGAAAGTGTAAAGATGTGGGGATTTGGAGGAAGACATTATTGGGGAAGAAATGAAAGGGGGAAAGTGGAAGGAATAGTGGTGGTGTTTGCTTGGATGTCAAGTGAGGACAGGCACTTGAAGAATTATGTCGATCTCTACTCCTCTCTTGGCTGGAATTCCCTAGTTTGCCACTCCCAATTCCTCAATTCGTAAGCCCAATTTCATCTTTTTTCTAACGTCGGGATTCTGATTTTTTCACTTTTGCTTGCTGGCGGTATGTTTTCTTTTATCTGAGTTGACCTACATGGGTGGTGGGTCTTGTGGATATCCTTTTACTTCAATTTAAATTGTAGGTTTAAAGATGAGCAATGGATAAGGTGGTTGGCTTGACGAGGTTCATGAATTAGAATGTTTTGAAGTATGGATATAATGGAAAATGATTTTGATATAGTATTGTATTTATGAGTTGAATATTTTTTGCTCTCTTAGTGCTTGTGTGGATGTGATTTTTTGTAAAGTGATTTTTTAAAGAATGCGGCCTTAAAAATTAAGGAGAAGTTACAGGGAAATGGGAAAAAGAAATTTTTTTTTTGAGAACGTGTAGTTGCAAAAATCACTTCCACGCAAGCACTAGTAATTTTGTAATCTAGATGACATTCTAACTTGAATATGCAGAATAATTGAGATCGAGTTAATGTTCTTCCTTATGTATTGTTATGGGATTGCATTTTGACAGGTTTAGTTTGATAAATTGTTCTTGTGACTTTAGGATGGTTAGAGGAAAAGTGAGATGGTTGCTTATGGTTTTTGCAGAAACTATTGGATATACGGGATGCTTTTTCTAAGGAATAAACTTTTATCTCATTTAAAGGACAAACTATCCTTTACATATTAGTTTTCTTTAGCAAATTTCAGAAGTTAAAATGATGGAAATCCAGTTTTTGTTTTTGTTTTTTTAGTTTTTTTAGTTTTGTCTCCATATAGCTATATCATGATTGCTTTTATCAAAATTTACTTTTCCTACCTTGCTGTAGGAATTGACTAACGGACATTATCTCTTAGAATTGGTAAACATTCACATTGGATGTTAGGTCTGCTTTGCACGTGTTAGGTAGGTCACAGGAAGTGAACTGGGATTGGCTTAAATGCTCTCCATATTATCTATCGTTCTAGTAGGATGCTACTTTAAAAATTTGTCTCCATGTTTCTGTTACCAGGACACTGGAGAGAATAGAAGACTAGTCCAATTAATCCACACTGTAATTTGCAGAATATATTGTCAAGGGAACCCTTTTTCCATATGGAATTCAAACCTCATCTACAGGATGAAACCTTTGATATTAAACTTATACTTACACAATCTACAATAGATTGTTAATGAATTTGCTTCATAGAGAATGTGGTATCAAGGCGTAGTCTTCTTGCTATTGGTTTATATTCTTATTATTTTGATCCTCATATACTCTTTTTGAAGATCTATATTGGTATCTCAAGTATCGACAGCATACAATCCCGAGAGTATAGAAATTTTGGCGTTAGATTGAGAAGGGAAATTTTGGTCTACTTAATTAAGTGACACTTGAAACTAACAGTTAGAATTGCTTTTTTAACTGGAGGAATATTTGGAACAAACAAACAATTTACCCAAAGCATATTCTAGAGCGCAAGTTTTTGTATCATTTGATTTGATTCTCAATTTTATGGGTTACGCTTGCAGATTCTTTCCTGAAAAAGCTGCATCATTTGCACAAGAAATTGTCTGTGAGCTTGTTCAGGTCAGTCATGAAATGAATCTACCTTATCTGGATTCTAGCTGTTGTACAAAGTATCACATCCCGTGTTCACTATGTCTATTCAAAAAGCTCTTTGGAAAACAACCCATGTTATATGTGCTACACATCTTTTAGGCCATACATCTCCTAAGATTGAAATCGTAGACCTGTTTAAAAGAAAAAGAGCTTTTCAAAGAAACAATGAGAAACTGGCATCTATAATTTGGTTCATTATGTTTTATCTTGTGTGTGTTGACTTAATCTTGGAGCAGCTTCTTTAATACAAAGTAAGATAACATTGTTTTAGAGGCTGTTATTGTGATCATCTCTCTCTCTCTCTCACTCTCCTCTCCCAAAAGAAAAGGAAGTGAAAGACCAAAGGCTTGTTGGTTTACAGATTTAAAAATTTGTTGGGTCAGCTATTATTTTAGTTATTCTAACACCCGTGTTGATTTTTTTCTTACGAAGGAGCTAAAAATCAGGCCATGCCCCGTAGTTTTTGCATCTTTTTCTGGTGGCCCTAAGGCTTGCATGTATAAGGTTCTTCAGGTAGATATCATTCTAGAGTGAAAATGTTAAAATTAAGTATTTTTCATTTATAAATTTATTCAAATTCCGAGTACAGTTTAATCCTGTTTCTTTTGGCCGCAGATAATTGAGGGCAAGTGTGAAGAGCAAGCTAATGTGGTATGATCTAAATTATCACAAATCATTTTAATAACATGTATTTGGGTCATCCTACAGATTTTGTGCTTCCGTACTGTAATTTATGTATTCCGTTCAACCATTTGTGGAACACTTTGGATAAATGATCTGTGGTGTAGGGTAGCCAAATTTCATATAGACATAACTCACATAGATATCTGCATTCTTGTTTTACAAGAAATGAATTGTCATTTGTATTATCTTAATGAAAATTTTTTATTAAAAGGATTGGCTAATCTGATATTCTCTTCCCATGAAGGATGATTACCGACTAGTTAGAGATTGTGTTTCTGGCTACATCTTTGATTCCAGTCCAGTAGATTTTACAAGTGACTTGGGTACTCGTTTTGTTCTTCACCCAAGTATTCTCAAAATGTCCCGCCCTCCACTCCTAGCATCATGGATTGCAAATGGTATCTCTTCCAGTCTGGATGCACTCTTTCTTGGCAGATTTGAATCACAGCGTGCTGAGTATTGGCAGACTCTGTACTCCACAGTTGTAAGTATTCACCAGCGTAACTTAGAGTTGCTTATCTATACTTATACTTGATCATTTACTGTTACTGTGATTGATATCAGCGCATGGGGGCACCATATGTCATTTTTTGCTCAGAAGATGACGATCTTGCTCCAATTCAGATTATTTGCAATTTTGTGCAAAGGCTTAAAGACCTTGGTGCTGATGTTAAATTGGTGAAATGGATTAACTCATCTCACGTTGGTATGCTTCTCTACCTGTCAGAATTTTTGGGTATTTATGGTGCTTGGCTCAAACATTTTCCCTTCTGTTTTAATGTGTTAAGATTCATCATAAGTATCAAAAATTTTCAAAAGATTAAATTTTTGAGAGATACTTGATGTCAAACGTTCCTTTCCCTTGACTAACGTAGCAACTGGAAGCCTGAAACTAACAACTTCATCTGCTTTTACTGGCTTTAGATTTTCCCTTTTGGAGATCATGTTTCTGACAAAGTAGACTGAATGGAGCTGCAAAATTAAATGTGATTGATTAAAAAGATTACCTGGACGGGATAAATAGCTTGCTGAAAGGCCTGTTCTGGAGATTTAGTACTCAATTACTCTAATTTTAACCTGCCAATCTGCCATTGAAGGAACCAAGGCCTCAATGATCTCAGACTGGTTGCTCAACCCACCTAGTTTTCACCAGGAAACCAAAATTTTCCTGTGCTACTAGTAAGTCTATTGTTAGGGAATTCACTCCCAATACCCAATTCATTGGATATTCAAATTTGAGTAATTAAACACCATAAAATTGTTTAAACATTATTAATATTATTCAGGCGCTATGTATGGTGCAGCAGTCATGAGCATAAGATGTAGTGGCAATATTAGTCAGAATTCTGTATCACCGAACGCTTGCATCGAAGTTCTGACTTAAGACCTTATCCTTTTGCTCTGCTCTAATAATGAATATTGCTGATGGCATGGTTTTGATAGATGATACTAGGATGTTTATAAAACATAATTTAAGACTTTGGAGGAGTACTTTGGAACCTAGAGGGTTTTAGCTTAAGGAGAACTGAGATGGACTACTTGGAATGTTGTTTTGGGTAACGATAGGGATAGAGATGATAGGGATAGAGATAATAGTGGAGTCAATATAGAGGATTGTGCTGTCCCGAAGAGTAATTGTTCTATGTATTTAGGTTTGATTATTATCAAGGAATGACAACTTGAAGAGGATGTGTTACATACAATTAAATTGGGTTGGATGAAATGGCACGAGAGTGATAATCAACGTGGAAGAAAAAACAAACAGAGATTTACGTTGTTCGGCAACTGGCCTACATCTACAGGAGCGAAGCGGCTATAATTTGTATTATATATGAATAATAGGGTTACATCATATATACGCTAACCTTGGCCATGCAGGACTTTAGGGCCAGTACAAGACTTTTAAGGTAATATCCAAAAATACCGATGTACTCATTGTACTGCCATCGGCCAATTTATTTTAGTAAACATATGTTTCACTCTATATAGGCCATGTATTACAACAATAAGTTTTTTATGGAATTTATGTGATGGGAAAATCCACGAGAGGTTAAAAGGTCTCTTTTACCTAACAATTATTAGACTTGCTATTGTTTATGATACTGAATGTTGGGTTGTTGAAAAATAAAAAATATCCACAATTGAAATGAGGATGTTAAAATAGATGGTTAGGTGATCATAGTATAATGGATAAGACAAGAAATGAGAATATGCATAGACAAGTGGAGGTGACATCAATTGAACATTAGTGAAGGGGAACGAATCACTTAGGTGGTAGGGCATGTTTTGCAAAGACCTAAGAAGCTTTTATTTATTTGTAAGAGTGATGTAATCTCAATAGACCTGATCTCAATAATCTTTGTTAGGATTGAGCATACTGTATCCAACAAAAACTACTTAAAAGCCATTATGGAAGAGTCTATCCTCACTGCCAGAGTTCTTCTAGCAGTGTTCTGATAGTTTAAGGAAGAACGACAAAAAACTAACCTCTTAGGTGTCAGATATTGGCGGTCTGCATCGTGCACTTGTGGATCAACAACAAAACCACGCATGATAAGTTGTGGTTACCTTCCAATATATATTTATTGTAGTTTTTTGGTTTTCATAAATAACTAGTCGGCTATACATTATGGCTTTTCTTATGTTGTTAAGAAATGCGTTTTAAAAACCATTTATTCTTGATACTTGATAGGATACTTCTCACATGTCACATTAAACAGGTCATTTTCGACAATTCCCTGTTGAATACAAGGCTGCTGTGACTGAACTACTTGGAAAAGCATCTGCAATTTATTCCCAAAGAATACGGCAACTTGAAGGGGAGAAGATGGGTTTGGAAGGCACACATTATGAGATATCTAAACCATTTGGCAATCTGAAAAAAGCAGCGGCAGGATCAAATCGCAGCTTCCAGACTATTCCACGCGATTTGAATGACCATTTTCTTGTGCCAAGTTCTATAGAGTATTATGAGGATAGAGACGGTGGTTCTGTGCAGGATGAACATAAAGATCGTTACATACATCTATCGAGCCCACCCAAAATCAGTGCCCATGGGGTTCTTGGTCAACTCCTCTTCGACGAATGTGTCCCAAAGAATGTCGAAGACTGGGATCTGAAATCATCATTCTCCTCGAGAGGGGCACCGTTTATCTCTGGGCGAAGACATTCTCCCTTCAATCTGAAATGCATTCGCCGCTGTAGATTATAATGGTTGCAGCTGATTATCAACTTGTCGTATAGCTTGCTTATGGGCTTAGGTAACCATGCAGAGACCTCAGCAGTGTTTGGACACACTGCTTGGCATTCTCTAAAGAATCTTGGGCAACAAAATAATTGAGATGACATTAAGAAGTTACACAGGAAATTCTCTCTCTGCTGTTTGTTAAAACAATAACATCATCAGATCTTTTCTTTAAATGGAAATTGCCAAATGTACAGCTATGTTGGCAACTCTGTAACATATGTATTATAAATGGAAAATGCAAGTGTAGCATCCCTTTACTGTTGCCTTCGCCTAGTTGCCCCTTTCTCAACACGAGCACAAACTAGAGCTTGAAAAGAGAGAGTACTTAATGGAGTTAATTTATGAGAAAATTTCGTGGTGGATATTAAAACCGAAGTCAATAAAGTATTGTTTCACATTTTTTTTTTCATGTCGATATTCCTATTGTGCATGTTTGATAGGTCTTACTGTTTTATTAGACAATGTGGATAATACAATAAATATGATTAATTATTCAAAAAAACATTTAATTAATTATTTGTAATCATTTTCATATATTATAACTCTACATTTGATTTACATTCTTTTCATTGATCACGAGTCACGACCTTATTCTTGTGTCGTTATCCAATGGTGTGATAAGATTGCCATAAGTACTATTCCAGCATATATACACACACACACTAGATACTTAGGATTGCCAAACATTGTTGGGTCGAGACTCCCTTTCCCTTTGGTCGCTTGATCGGATATTGTACAAGGGATAATAAATTGACCAAACAAGAAGTCGGGTCTGTTTCATGAAAGAAAAAAGACAACAAGGATCATTTAAGGCCATTTTCGACGAACCTCGACATTTTGTCAAGATGCATCGGCCAGCGAGTGGTGTACGTCAAACTTCCTTAACAGTAGGGGTGAGCGCGGATTGGTTCTGTTCGGTTCCAAAAATTTTCGAGTATTTAATAAATGGAATCGTCAGTTCCAAATATAATTTTGGAACCGTTCGAATTCGGTTCGATTCTGTACTACAATTAAATTTTTTAACATTTAAAATAATACTACATAAATACACCTGAAAGTATATACTAATATTCAAAAAGTAGATACAAATACCAAGTTCAATTTTAATTTTTACAAATTAACATAATCTAATTTAATAACATATAAATAATAAGTTGTCAAATACAAATATCAAAAAGTAAATATTACTAGTAAAATTTCGATGATTCATATCAATAATTCATTTATTTCAAACCTTCAAGTCTACATAAAAATAAAATATAAATTATAAGTCATAAATATAAAATATTTTAAAGTATTGATAATACTTACCAACTGTTTAATGTAATTATCAGTTGTTTGACTTTCCATACTAACTAATAAGAAGCTATACAAGAAAAAATTGAAAAAAACACAATTAACAAATATAAATAAATTCTAAATTGT